TACATCGTACCATGTCGTCGTCTGGATTCCTCTAGAGAGTTCCTGATGCCGTTCTTCTGAGTTTCAATTGACTTGTTAAGTCTATCGAACAGTGTATCCAAAGCAGCGGTCGATGAATCAGTCTAGTCCTTGGTAGCTCTATGAGCGCTCTCAACTCTACATGTTGTAGTGTTCCCAAAATGAAGTACCTGGTTTGTCCAATATTTGACAAACTTTTCCCTGTGAGGGACCCATTGCTGCATCACATAGTCCACCAGTGCCGGACACCACTAGTACGAATCCCTGAAGTTAGCCAATTCTCGCTCGTACGCTTCCTCTCTGGTAGCCTGTAGGATCTTCCGCCACTTACCATTCACCAATCTCTCTGCCATTTCCAAATTATTGTTGAAAAGGTTGTAGGCTTTCACTTTCACGCAGTTGTTGATGTGTCATGTGCACAATAAGTGGTTCGATTCTAGAAACAGCTCTGCTAAGGGGGCAAAGAGACCTCCCTCACAGTCGCTGACGATGGCTGCTGGATGAACATTAGGCCCGATGTAGTTTCTTAGCTTCTCCAACACCCTATAATAACTTGGAGGCGTCTCATCCTTGATGATTGCATGACCAATCAGAAAGTTCTGGTTCGTTGGAGTCATCCCCATGATCTCAACCAGTGGGAACTTGTACTTGTTTGTCTTGTACGTTGAGTCGATCAAAATCACAAATGGCCAAGACTTGATCATATCAGCACAATCAGGATGCACAAGGAAAAGATGAGTCACCTCCGCTGTATCTTCATCAGAATCAAACCAGAACAGGTAACCACGTGATTGTGCCTGGTGTAGCAGCTGCTGTATAGGGTTCCTTCCCTCTGACCGTTCAAACCTGAGTTGATGTCTGACGTTGTAGATTTGTCTTCGGTTTGGATGGTCTTATGGAAATTTCTCTAACACAGATGCTAATATTTTAGCAGGCTTGACTTGAGCATCACTCATTTCTTTCACAACTACTTTCGCAGCAGGACTTAAGCCGCTCAGCTGTCGATGACCCTCTTCATATACTATCATCTCATGGTTGTGATACCCCCATTTAGAGTAACCAATCACTTTCCAACCGTCACGACTCCGTAGTTGTCGGACCTTTACTCTGAACTCACACCCACAACCTTTCCGCTTTGTATCAAACCGAGTGGTTGTACGAAAATCTCTTTCTTCTCTTTTGCGATAACGGTCACATCTCAAAATGCGATCCATTCTACCATCCCGTTGAGATTTATGAGTTACTACTACCAAGAAAAATCCAGCTGCAATTGCAACCTGTTTTGCCCAATCAATCGCTTGTTGAGCTTTTTCGAATGGACCATCCAAATATCTCACTGTAATCATTTCCGTCACCACCATAATCCTGCATCAATTATATATTATAATAAATACATTTAACGGATAATACATTTAATTTCTATATTTACACAGAATTAACAAAAAAAAAAAAAAACATAATTATGTATAATATTATTCATACACATACACATACAAATTTTAAACACAATCATTTATAAAAGTCACATAAACAATTTCCAATTTTTTTTAATACAATCTCGAATTGTCAAACTTAATTTTAGAAAAAACCTTTCTCAACAATCAAACTTAATTTTTAATAAAACCCAATTCGAATTTTCAAACTAAAATTAAAAAAAATACCATTTCGAATTTTCAAACTTAATTTTAAAAAAACCTATTTCGAATTTTCAAAATTAATTTTAAAAAAACCCATTTCGAATTTTTTAAAAAAATCATTTTCGATTTTAAAAAAAAATAAAAAAAATAAAAAAAATAAAAAACAACAAAATCAAAAAAGAAAAAAAAAACAAAAAAACAAAAAAAAATATAAGGTGGCGTCTGCCAGGGCCGCCACGCCACTGGACTGGCGCCTGGAAGGGCCGCCACAGCTAGTAGAGTGGCGCCTGGCTAGGACGCTAGTCTGGTGGTCTGGGCGTCTGGGCTGGACGCCACTGTGGTGGTTATGGCGTCTGGCTTGGACGTCCAGGCTACGGTTAGGGCGTCCATCCTAGGCGCCGGAGCCACTCCTACGGTTAACCGTGAATTTTAACGGTGACTTACCTCGTTTTCCGTCGACGACGACGTACCTCCGGCGTCCCCCGCATCTGCGGCCTGCCCTCCGGTCTCCTCCGGCGAGCCAGTACGGCTCCACATTTTTTAAACCGAGATTTGTTCAATTTTAGAAAATGGGCCTAATGGTCACACCATGTCATATTTGTGGGCTTTATATGGTAATTTGCGGGCGATGTTTAACAAATCCCAAAAAATACACATCATACTAAGGTGTGTTCTATTAACTTGATATTCGTTGAGTTGAAATTATCTTATTTTACCATAACTTATCCGAACTTCTTGAATTTCCTCAACTTATTAGATCTTATTAAATTGTGTTCTATTCACTTTATTTTGACTTATTTGAACTTATACTATCTTTTCTATCTGAATTAATGAAACATGATATAAGTTAAAATAAGGTGAACAAAACATGGCCTTAAACTTTATAAAAACTAATTTTAGTTGTCATTTAAATTTGAGTAATCCTTATTATAATTTATTTTCTCTGAGCTTATCTGATATTATGAGACCTAAATTAAGTGAAAATAACATAAACATAACAAGGTCTAAATATCTTAATATTGGTGCTCAAAGCTAACAAAAAATGTTATGTGAGGAAATAGAAAGTATATTTTAAGATATTAATTGTTTGTAAAATTTAACTGTTGATGAATTTTGTATTAATAGTTCATATCTATGCTACCTAGACTTGAATTTAGGTGTCGTGTCCAACAATCTAGATTTATTAAATTTCGAATATGGCCATTATACATTTGTGTTCATATCGTGTTGTGTCAAAATGTCGAATGATTGCATCGGAATGTGATTCGATACGTGCATCCGACATACAACATGGTGTTAAAGTAACACAGGCTGATGACAAATGTGACAATAAAGTTACTTTATCCAAGAAATTCATAACCTTTTATATGTATACAAATTCACATAGAGGTGAGTCCATTGAAGGGTTGATTTTCACTCATTTGATATATTTTTTACGTTTTTTTTACAATATATTCCTAAATAATTTTTTTTTATTCACCATGTACCCATAAAACTTTTCAAATACACCACATACCCACGAGTTTCACAAAAATGTTACCAAATATCCTTAATGACTAACGACGGTTAACTCCTTTAGTCATTAATGCTAATTATGCTATGTGGCAACTTCTAATTGGTTCTCTTTTAAATATTTAATTAATTACTAAAAATTAATAAAAAAAAAAAAGTAAAAAACAAAATCAATAAAACCACCACCCAACCAGCCACCCCTCCCTCGGTCGAACGTACTAGCCCCACTACCTCGACCGGCGCCCGGACCCCTTGTCCCCCACCCCCTTGTCAGCAATCCCTACCCCCACATTCTCTCTTTCCCCCCAACCCTTTCTCCCCCCCCCAATGCCCTCCCATTTCCCCCACTCAAGCCCCACGCGGAAATCGTGTTTGTGGTTGGTTGGTGCTTTTGGGTGGGGCTCTGGGGGCCGAAAACAGGGGAGGGGGCCATTTTTGGGGTAGGGTAGGGGTCGGGGTAAGGCAAATTGGAAGAGTGGTGTGGTGTCGGGTGGAGCTAATAGGAGGGGATGGGGCGTCGGTGGGGTGGAGGAAAAGATAGGAGGAGGTCCGACATAGGTGTAAAGGTTGGGTGTGTCCCACCCCTGCCGCCACGCATTCCCCCTTGAACCCCTACGCCGGAACCACCCCGACCCCCCTGCCATTGCCCTTCCCTTGAACCACATCCCTCCCTCGAAAAACCTTTCCCCATCCGCCAACGCTCAAACCCCCTCCCCCGCGGCAACGAACCCAATTCACCCTTCCTCTGCCGAAGCGAGATGGTTGGGGGTGGGGGAAGTTGGTGGAGATGGCAGGGGGAAGCGAGAAGGGGTTTAGGGCGTCGCGCGGGTGGGGAGAAAGGGTTTGTCGGAGAGAGAGGGTTTTAAGATGGGGGGAGGGTGGTTCAGGGGAAAGGGATGGGCAACGACAGGGGGTTTATTGGGCAACTGCGCCGACCGAGGGTAAGGGTTAGGGGAAGTTTGGTTGGCTGGGGTCTTGAGTTTTTTTTTTTAGTTTTTTTTTATCTTTTAATAATTAATTAAATTATTTAAAAGATAATCAATTAATTATCGCCACATGGCATAATTATCCTTAACGAGTCACGAAGTTAACCGTCGTCATTTGGTGACATTTTTTTGAAGCTCGTGGTTATATGATGAATCTGAAAAGTTTCACGGATATATGGTGAATAAAAAAAATACTTGACGGTGTGTTTGGATAAATAAATGGGAAAGAAAAGAAGGGGAGGCAGGTGAAGGGGAGGGAAGAGAAAGAGAGGGGAAAGAAGAAAGATGAGTTTTCCTTCTAAATCTCTCAATTGTTGGAGAGATCAATTTCTTACAATTTAATCCCTCCATTTCTCCCCCCTCCAATTCCCTTCTTTCCTTATTTGTTATCCAAATGAAAGATAATTCATTCCTTCATTTCTCTTCCCTTCCTTTCCCTCAATTTCCTTCAATCCAAACATAGTGTCAGGGTATATGGTTAAAATCCTTTTTTTTTTTTTTTTTTTTTTTTTAATATGAACAAAAAATTCTTTTAGATGGTTGGATGCACCTTGCACCAGTGTGTATAATTTTATTTATTTTTAAATAAAAAAACCTTGAAAGTAAATTTCATTATTTTTAATTATAAATAGTACTAGTAGTAGATGAATTTTGTGAAAATATCTTCTCATCAAAACCCAAACGGTCCCTTAGCAAGGGAGAAGGGACTACCACCGGATATAGCCGGTCAACAAAAATTGCATTTGGTTATAATTTGGGGCTCATTTCATTTCACAACCCAGTAGTATCTAACCCAAGTTGAATTCTAACCATTCTCACTAACCCCAGTTTGTTTATTTAAGGACACTGAAATCTGAGAGCCTTCTGGCTCTGGGTTGTGATCTTGTTATACATCTCTTTCTCTCTCCTCCCTCTCTCTCTCTTACTTTCTCTCTCCTCTCAATCCCCAAATGAACTTGTAAAACACTCTTTTCCTGCTTCTGGTTGGTTAAATTCTTGTGTTTTTTTTTACTGTTGTTGCATGGGGTTTTGTAGAGGAGAAGAAGTAAAACTAAAACTAATGATGATGGAAGGTAAAGAAAATGGTTGTTTAGCAGTGAATTATCTGTTGTACTGCACCATTTCAACTGCTTCAATTCTTCCTTACTTGGAAACTCAACACAACATCTGAAACACTCAATAAAGTTGACTAAAGCATTTAACTCTTTTATTGAAAATTAAAAAGGCATAAACTTTTTAAAGTTTGAGAATTATGAAGAGAATTAGCAGCTCAGATTCATTGGGTGCCCTCATTTCCATGTGCCCTCCTACAGGTTTACTTATTTAACAACATAATTTTCTTTAATATATTTTATTGTACTTTTTTATTTGTTGGGTGCTGAATTATGGTATGTTGGTTGATGCAGATGAGCATAGCCCAAGGAACAACATATACAGCAGAGATTACCAGTCTATGTTAGATGGGTTTGATGAAGAAGGATGTATAGAAGAAACCGGGCACGTACCGGAGAAGAAGAGACGGCTAAGTGTGGATCAGGTCAAGGCTTTGGAGAGGAACTTTGAGGTTGAGAATAAGTTGGAACCTGAAAGGAAGGTTAAGCTTGCTCAAGAGCTTGGGTTGCAGCCTAGACAGGTTGCTGTTTGGTTTCAGAACCGTAGGGCTCGGTGGAAGACTAAGCAGTTGGAGAGAGATTATGGTGTTCTTAAAGCTAGTTTTGATAATCTCAAGCAGAATTATGAGTCTCTTCAACATGACAAGGATGCACTCCATAAAGAGGTATGATTTCACGTGACTTTTATTGAATTTTGTTACTCGGACTCTTCATTTCACCTTCGGTGTTGTGTCATATCATATTATACATCTAGTAGTCTGAGTGAGTTTGAGTAACATAGATTGCAAGTAATTTGATTAATTATGTTACTTAGTGTCTCTTTATTTCACCTTAAGTCGTGTTATATTTGTACAATTATACATCTAGCCGAGTCTGAGTAACATATTCAAGTATTACTTTGGTAAATTTTGTTACTTTCATTTCAGCTTAAGTTGCTATATCATATAATCTTACATATCTAGTCGAGTCGCGTGTGAGTAACATAGATTGCAAGTAAAATGACTTTATATGTACTTCGTAATGTATTTCTTACCAAGTGATTATAATTTTTGACAGATTAAAGAGTTAAAATCAAAGCTGAGTGAAGAAAATGTCTCAGACAGCAATACACACATCAAAGAAGAAGCTTTGATATTTGAATCCGACAACGATCACAACAAGAAAGACGTTGAGCTGATCACCCCACTCGACACACTGAGTGGCGGCGACGGTGGATCGGAGGATGCAAAGCTGCTGAAGGTAAATAATGCATTCCCCGAATTCAAAGACGGACCATCAGACAGTGATTCAAGCGCAATCTTAAACGATGACAATAACAGTAACAGTCCAAATGCATCAAACTCTTCAAGCGACGCACTCTTCCACCACCCGCAGCAGCAGCAGCTACTGATGTCACCAACATCCTCCTTCAGATTCAACTGTTCTTCATCACCTCCGCCTTCAATCAACTGTTTCGGCTTCGCAGCCGAAACAAGATCAGACAATTTAGCCACTCCCCAGAATCACAACAATGTATATCATCCCCAATTCGTGAAGATTGAAGAACATAACTTCTTCAGTGGTGAAGAAGCTTGTAACTTCTTCTCTGAAGAACAAGCTCCTTCTCTTCATTGGTACTGCCCAGATCAGTGGACTTAATGATCCCAAAATCAAAACCCTTAAACAAACAAAAAAAAAATGAGATGATCAAATTTGAGGAATTTCATGGGTTTTGGGAACATAACTCAATAAAAAACATCCTTCCAAATTAATTGTATAGAGGTTAAGTTCCCAAAGCACTGTGATTTTTCTTGTTGGAAGCAAGAAAAATGGAGGGGAAAAGAGGCCATGTGAGGAGAGAGAAAGATGACGTCTTTTAGAGGTGGCCGTGTCTTGTAGTATTACACCGTGCGGCAAATGAATGAATGATTAGGCAGTAATTGGGGAGTTTTCTATGCTGTAAAAACATGAACAAGATTAATATTATTATTACTAATATGCACGAACAGGATAAATCCTGTATAATGCAAATAATAATATATGATGATGGGGTTTATAATCCCCTTTTTCTTGGTCATATCATATCATCTTAGAATATTATGTCATTCTTTATTTTTTGTGTTTTCACTTTTTAATCTTTCTTATGAACTAAGAATTTTAGCTCTTTGAAATGATGGTGTTCACTCTAAAGAAGCTTTTACTAATGAGTATGTTTTATCCGGAAGATTGTGACTACCTTCGTGCTGGTATTCGGGTGTGTGCTGGTATTCGGGTGTATAATAAACATGTTAGCGAGGTCCACTGAAGTCATGTGTAAGCTTCTCTTCAATCTTTCACACCCTACTTCTCTAACCCTTTGTTTTAGGCAAAAGAACTTTAAATTGATGTTTTTCAATTCAAAAGAGCATCATTAACAATATATAACTCTATTATAGTACAAAGTGTTATGTATCAACTCTTTCTCTCTCTCTCTCTCACTCAAAGATACTCAAAAAAGTGAGTTATATATATGAGAGATGAGAAAGATACAGAGAACATAAAGAGGGTTATGAAATCCTCTCTTTTATCATCCCATTCACTATTTTTTTCAACTTTTGATCTAACGTACCTTAGGAGAGAAAGGGATGGCAAGAAAATGGGGGAACACTTAAAAGATGATCTTAGGTCCTGTTGTTTTCACCATATCTTCATCAAATTATTTTTTATTGATCAATATAGTTTTTTTTTTTTTCTTTTTTTTTAGTACAGGTTAGACGAACCTATTCGATTAATTCTTAAGTAATTTCTATTCAGATATTGAATTGTATTAATTACATAATACTACGTATTTCGTATTAAATCTATCTACAAGTGATCAAAATCAATTTTTATATTAGAACTAATGTTAATAATTAAATATGATTATTATTACTAAATTTCATTTTTTTTAGTGGATTAATTTCACTTTATCCTTAAATAGTCTTTGTGAAATTGAATAAGGGCTTGTTTGTCCTGCTTGTCTTCATGTGATGAGCTGCCCTTAAGCCTTGAAATTCTTTGTGGGGAGAGGAGGAGTGGGTAGAAAATTTGTAAAGTTGTATTGATGATTGAATTTTTGTGCCAAATAGTAATTAAAGGTTACTACTATTCCTTTGCATAGTACGTAGTAATTCCTAAAATTGTTACATTCTGAGGTCATTGCCAAAACAATGGGATAGGACCTACTTACTATTGGCGCAAATTTTCAATTATTGCTATATTAAGGGGGTGGGATGGGTCTAAGTACGTTATCGTATTTATGTATCAGGCAAAATCTTATATGAGACAGATTTATTGTTATAAAATCAGGGTATTTTTTTTCATTCTAATTACTTGTTGTGTTTTTGGTGAACGACTTTAATTTTTCAAAATAGATTTGTGTGAGGTTACTCCGTATATTACTCTTAACAATAATTATCGAAAACAAATAATGATAATGGAAAGCTAAATCTCTTAGTTTCTTTTCATCTTGCATATGAGCATTTCTACCTCACCAGTGTCTTTTTCACACTTGACATTGTTCTTATCAATTACCAATTAGGTTCTTGTGATCATCACCTTTCCCAAAGGATCGAGGGGTCGTTTTTTATGAAGATTTGTTTGTGTTATTAAGAAGCTATTAAATTTAGGAATCACTTACACTATTAAATTGGATAGAACTTTCTTAATTATATTATATTATATAGTGAAAAAGAATTGAAGAATCTATAGGTACCGATGTATGAGCATTATATTATGTAATAGTCTGATTTATACTTCTAATTTTCTCTAGTGTATAGTGTATTAAAATCGCTTAAAGATGCCTGGGCTACTTTGGAGGAAAAAATGTTATTAGGCGAAGCATATAGTTTTCGTCTATATAGACATTAGTCACTCACTATCTAATGTTATTATTTTACATGTTTTAATTCGAACTTTTTGCCTTAGTGCCGTTATAATAAACAATCTTTTTGTATCGCTTAATTGAGAGTTGAGATAACCTTACCTTTGTTGGTATAACCTTTGTTGGTCATATATACATAAGTCAATTTTCTCAAATCATATTTTCACTAATTTCGGAAAAATAGATTCATAACTTCAACTAAGATTTAAAAAAAAATCAAGAGTTCATAACAGATGAATTTGGAGCTAGATTAAATTTAGTTCATACGTGTTAAAATAAGTTAAGAAGAGCAATATACAGCTAAAATAAACTCATACTTGTATAACATTAGTTATATAAAATTTAGGTGAACTAAACGCACTATAATTTGGTTCGATTTGGTTCGATTTTGCATTCCCAAATACCTACACATAGATCTATAATTTTCGACTTTGCAACATTGGCTTTTTTTCGCAATTATCTTGGTGATTACCTTAAAAGGGAGCCGTCGACCTCTTAAATCTAGTTTGTTAAACTTGATGTATTGCCAACGACCATTGTGGAGAGAACGATATTGAGCTAATGGAGCATGGTATGTTCCATTGTAGTATTTTAAATTGTGCTCCGAGTAAGGAGCCGCTCGACAAGGTTCAATGGTTACTTATGCAATTAGAGACAAGAAATCGTACGTACTTACTTGACCCTATTAAGGGTTAAGAAAGTCCTCCGTAGGGTTAGGAGGGTAACGTTCCTATCATTCAATTTGGGTATGTAAACCTTCCGTTGCTACAATTGTTGACCTTTTGTAACGGCCTTCTTTTAGCTCAACATTAAGATTCTACACCTCTACTTCACTACTTGTATTGAAATTGAAAGAGACAATTTAGTGGTGATCAAATCTGTCAATCCCACTCTTTCACCTTGAATAATTGGGGCCTTTGTTCTTGTGAAGAATATCTTACCGTTATGAACTTTTGAATCATGGTACATTTTATATATATATATATATATATATATATATATACTTATTTTAATTTAATTTTTCTTTTTAATATGTAAACAATGAATGCTTACATAAAAAAGTTATTTGTTAGATACTTCGTAGGGTATTTATTCAAATCATCAAATCATTGCAATAAATATTTTAAAATATCACTCGTAATGATCACAATTGTATACTGATAAATAATGTATCCGAATAATACAAATAAAGTATTATGAGACGGTAGCACGAATATATAATCCGTAAATATTATTATACGGAGTTTGAAGGTAATTTTAATTTACGTGATGTGCAAATATGCAAGAGAGAGCGCAACCCACGGGAGTGGTTGCTTGACAAAGTAAAAATGAGTTAAACAATTGTGAAGCTAAGATAGAAAACCTCAGACTCTAGCTTTACTAGCTAGTAGTACGCCAAGTAGCATGTAGTATAGCCTTCTAGCCTAGTAATAGGGTAGGCAGTTTGGATAATTAAATGTGAAATTGGCCATTTTGCTAATTGTAGAGAAAAACTTGTACACTGGCGTAAAAATATGATGAACTTGTGCAATTCCTACTTAAAATTGCACTCTTTCGTACTTTGGGGTGGAATTAATGAATTATGTATTATGAATTGTATGTGATTATTCTGTTTTTTTTATTCCATTAAAGATGTACTTCGGTATATAATTCCTTTACTAATAGATGAAATGATTATTATTATTATTATCTCTATAGAGGTTAATATATGAGGTTCTGGTCTTTTTCTGCTTACTTGTCATTGTTGTCATATGAACTCATTGAAAATTAAGTTCATAAATGATGCAGTAATCCTAAACCCTAAATTACACTCAAATATGATCGAGTAATTAATTATAACTATGTCTAGTGGTAAGGTTTGTTATTTCACAAACATGAAGTTGTAGGATATCTAAGAGATCAACTCCTGTTAGAGGCATCTTGGAGGCGGGGCTTCCTCCACTCCCCTCCCCCCTGTAGCCTCACACGCATATATTTAAGGGGTCTTGCCTTTTAACGTGGATTGGGTTAATCTGTGTGAGAGACTCTAATATAATAGGGCGTCTTCATCTTACTAACTAAAAAAAAGTAATGTATTGTTGTTGAATTCCATTATTGTTCTCCAATTTTGAACTTATATCATTAGCACTCACTTCATATCAAACTTGAAATGAGTGAATATAAGATGAAAAATTTGGTTGGTTTTAACTTTTATTCGTAAGAGATTAAAATGATGAGTGGCTGTACGACTGAGCATTTCACATTCTATACTTCCAATTCGCACCGTATGATATTTACTTTTTTTTTCCTACTAAATAAACAATTTCACAAATTAAGTCAGCCCAACTAGGTAGGTCAATGCTTAAAAGTATAGGAGAAGGTAAGGGATGGAATCCCCCGACTCTAAAACAAATGTATTTGTTGGAGTTCGAACTTATAACCTCAAAGTCACTGGGTGAGTTTCTACTTTTGCAACTGCTGTATTACTTATAGTTTAATATGGAGTATTCTCTATATTTTGTGTGTATTAAAACTTTTAAATTAAGAGCTTGGCAGTGATATAAATGTAAATGTACTCGTGTCCTTAAAATAGGGTAACAGTATGACAAGGTGAAGAAGATAATGTAAAAATATAGTACAGACTGCAGACTGGACCCCTGACATATCATCTCAACCTGATGCATTGGATCATGGGACACCTATTTTCTATTCCAATTAATCTAACAGTTAGTTACTGTATCTACTCTTCATGTTCTCGGGCATTTTAATTTTTTCTACCCCCTCCATCCAATAATATAGCTTTTATTGTAATTTTTTTCACTGTATTTAAAAAATCGGAGAAAAGGGGGAAAAAGTACACTAAAAGTGGGAAAAAAACTAGACAAAAGTACAAAGCAAGTGGATAATTTAAGGTGAAAAAAGTGAAAAGTACAATTATAGACAAAAGTTATAAAGATAAAGTGGAAAAAAGTACAATGTAAGTGAATAAGTTAAGGTAAATTAAGAAGTTTAATTAATAAAGTAAAAAAAAATGAGGGTAATGATATTTATATACTATCCAAAAATAGAAATAAGAATAACATTTTGAGTCTCTAAAATAGGAAACATAAACTATATTATAGAACGGAGGGAATACCTTATTATTAATTGGTTGAGTTGCTCGGTTAAAATGACATAATTATTACTCTGTATTTGAT